ATGACCTTGCAGCAAATTCGTGTCCGGCCCATAACTTCGTTACTTGAAGTCGAATTTTACACCTATTTCACAGAGATGATCACCATATTGAATCGACGTGTCGCATGCAACATTTGGGTTGCTACCGTGAAGGTCAATGTCACAGCATGAGCTTGCAGTTAAACCGTGTCCGGCCCATAACTTTGTTATTTGAAATCGGATTTTACAACTATTTCAAAGAAATGATCACCATATTGAGACAATGTGTCGTGCACAAAATTTGGGTTGTTTGAAAACTTTTAACTTTGTCTGTGACATAACTCTGACACTACAAGAGGTATACCTTCCTGTGTCCAAAACCTATTCGGGGAGCATCACCCGGTTCAACCGGCTCTTGTTTAAAAAGTTTTTTTCCCCAAAAAATCTGTGCAAAAAAAAATAAAAAAAAATATGAGAAAATTTAAAATTGTTATAAAACATTCACAAAAACGTTTTGACGGCCCTTTCAAGTATGCCCTAAAAAAATTTTTTTAAAATTTGAAAACCCAAAAATCAAAATGACGTTTATTCTAAAAAACGCATTCAACAGTACCAACAATACAGAATCACTGGCAAGGAGCCCGCCAGTAAACCAAAAAAAAAAAACATAGGAAAAAGTTTTTATTTTCATTTTTCAAAAATTTTAAAAAAAAACATACAAACCCAAATTAAACCCCGAGAAAAACGAGCTGGGGGTTTTTAAAAACATTGTATTTATTACTCTTTTTTGGGCCCTTTTGACAAATTTTTCCTTAAAAACCAAAAATGCAAACACTTTTACGGGCCTACACCTTGTAGGGTAATAGGTATAATTACCGTTGACGACAAAACAAAAAGGGTCAAAACAAGTGTCAACAAAATTAGCATGTCACAAAAAACAACAGAACATAGATTGGCGCCGCCTTTGAAAGGCGTCAGCAACATAAGCTGTACTAAGGTTCTTAAACTGGTAAATAATGCACAAAACCTCATTCTGAGTCCCAACATGTAGACAGTGATAATAAATTAAATTCCTGTATCAAAATTGTAACAAATGTTATGGTTAAAAGCAAGAATATCACTGACGTTGCAAGGCAGAAGATAATTCAGTTCTTAAGGGTTTTAAGAACTGTCTGTCACAGATAATCCCGTGTAGCATCCAACTATAAAGAGATTAAACACTAAGCATGCAATATGCATTAAAATAGAAGGGTAATTACCTCTGTTTCTAAAACGTTTTTGTCATTTTAGAAAGCACTGCAATAAAATTGCACTGATAAACATGTTACGAAGTTTGTAGGTCACATCTCTATCAAATAGAAAGGAAGCTCGCCATACTATAGTCGCAAAAGACTTTTCGAATCGCTAGTGGTTTTTGAAATTAAATCGGTATTAAGATTATAGCTGCAATATATGTTTGAGGTACACAATTATGAATTAATCAACTATTTGTATAGAAGACAATTTGTATAGAAGACCCCACTAAAATAAAAACAACAACAAAAACACAACAAAGTCACACTCAAACAAAAACAAAACTAGAACACTGCAAAGGCGGGGTACTATACGCCCGAATGTTAATTTGTTTAATTAATCAACAATAATCTTTTATGTAGGGAAGTTACCAAATCAAGAAACTTGTCTAAATAGTGTTGCACCTTAAAAATCCAAATATTGCAAAATACTTTCTGGGAGGAAGGATTTTTTTTACGCTAGGTGCATGATTCATAAAACTTTTATAGAGGTCTACAAGACAATGCTTTAATTTAAATATAGAATGGAATAATATATTATAGAATGGAATCTCTTGACATAGTAGTTATCCACAAAAAATGATGTGTTTTCTTATAAATAAGTCTACATAAAACAAGTGATTCCGGGGAAGGGCTAATTTTGACGTTAGCGTAATGTTTCATATATCTTTTGTAGAAAATTACGAATTGATGCTACATGACAACTATCTAAGCACTACTCTTTGTAGTTCCACAACCTAAGCATCATTTTGCCCATAGGTGCAAGACTGTACGGAATGAACATGGATATTCATTCAAAAATGTCACTTGAATCCGTACGGGCTGACGGACGACCAAGTGTATAACAATATAAGTCAAAATGTACATAGTTTACAATGTCTATTTAAAACGTATTCATCAGAAAGTTGGGGCGTCCATGGCCGAGTGGTTAAGGTCGTTGACTTCTAACCACTTGCCCCTCACCGCTGTTGGATCGAATCCATCCCGACAGGGACTTGGATTCTATCTTGTGAGAAAGCTATCCACCTAGCTATCCAGCATGGCGTTATAATTTTAACATTTACAACAACTTTACCAATCCTTTTCCCAGTTGCTTGCATTTTATTTGCCTCTGTAGTTTATTCAGAAAGTCCCATTGGAAATGAATACATATAGTTTTGTATGACGAAAATAATGCTTCTAAATGGATAGAAAAAGGAAATATACAGAATGTATCTGTAACATATGGCTTAACGTTCTGAAACAACTTTTCATTTTCCGTTTTGTTCCAGCTGCAATAAACGGACTAAATTCAACAACAACAACAACAACAGCCGCCGCAGCAGCAGCAGCAGCAGCAGCAGCAGCAGCAACACCACCACCACCACCATATTCTTTATTAAACTCTTATCACAATGACAGTTGTACTAGAGTATACAATATATAAGAACATGTCAACATGCAATGTATGAACTATTTGTGGTTTGTTCCGTCCTGACAAGATAACTATCGTTGTGTTAGGCATTTATGGCACTCCCGAGGCGAAAAAGCGAAATGACGACATAATTTGCCCTTAACACGTATGTCATATGCCCCAGCACAAGATTAACGAAGTCAAATTAAACGAGTAAGATTATGAAGTACATAAACTACATTGTGGTTAGAAAGATTTAAAAAAAATTGTTTTCAATTATGTAGTTCATGTATATTATAAATATATTATGTTGTTGGTGCTCATCCGAGCTTGTACAAAAGAATCCCCCAAAATGGAACAATGCAAAAATTAAGCGACGCGAAAGTGTAATACTTTGGAATTAATCGTATTCTGTGCAGTAACAGTATTAGTAACGTTATATCTCGACACTTTATGTCATTGCATAATGCTTGTTGTCATATGTTTATTGAATAACTAAATTATATATATAACTACAAATACATTTGTTGATGCGTTTTGTTCCCGTGAAAAAAGGAAAGCCCTAGAGATAATGATAATACATGCACTTGGTCATGAAACGCGTTATTTGAACTGATGCTGGTTCCCATATTGTGATAGCATTGTTTTTACAGTACAGAGTTATTGGTCTATTATTGAATCATCAGTATAATTAATAGAGCAAGTACGAGGTGTGTTAAATAAACCTTTTGCGTCACCACATTTTTGCATAAGCGTGTTTTCCGTACTATAACACATTGAATATTTTTCCATCAATCTATCGATCATAGTATCATAAGGTTTATTCATGGAATCCAAATGGCTGTAGCATGAAGTTGCTAAAAAGGTCAAGAAAAGAGTTGCAAATTATGAATTTTCACGAAAACCACGACACCATTTTACCTATTAAACGACTTGACATCATTAAGAGCCTTGCTCTGTGTTCCTTTATAAGAAATCTTTACAAGAAACAAATGATCCGCATTTTAAAACATAAGTAAACAAAACAGAGACACAGCAAATATTGGATACACGATAAGCATAGAATCATTTTGTTAATTATATCAATTAGAAACATCTATAAATTATGCAATTTCCATTGTTTTTTTTTACTTGATTTTGTTGCCATAAATATAAAAAGTCGGTAAAGCATCTTCAAAAGTCTTAGAAGATTCTAATGGGCAAATAAAATAAATTAACTGGTTGACAGCAATTTTCTATCATAATCTTTTCGTTGACCCGTAACCAGGTTACCTAGATAGTATTATTTTCAGACATCTAGAAATATTTATTTGAAATTTGTTTTGAATGACATTAGGACTTTTTTATTTCATATAGAAATATGGAACAGGGTTGATATCATCGATGACAATAAATTGATTGATAAGAGTTTATGTGATATAAGTGTAAATTATCAATAATAACAATAATTATCTTTTTGGTATATAAATAATATTGTTTGTTTCGTAGCATTGAAATATTAATTATGTGTGTTTGAACAGTATGTGTGATCACAAGCATATTTATTAAGTATTTATGGTTGAACTAACACTAACGCATTTAAATTTCTTGCCATACATCAAAGGAAATCATTCTTGAAATTCATAAAATATTAAGATAATTGAAAGAACCTTTTTGATTCAGCAAAAATTGAAGGGAATGTTACCTTTGTTCTGTATGCTGTATTGATTATCATTGTAAGATATGCATCATATACTATAGGTCAATAGTATATCAGTTTCTTCAATTGTAATACTATGTTTCTCTAAAAAATTATATTTACCACTATGTACCAAAACTTTGTCCATTTGTGATTTTGCTACTACTAAGGGTCGTGACAAGAACTTTTAAAATAACATTCTTTTTGTTATAACATCCATCCATCCATCCTTGAGGTGATATTTTCTTGTATGACATCAGGGCATTCGGGTGCTGAAATAACATGCAGACGTGTAAATAATAAAGTCTAAATTAAATGATTATCACACGTACATACTCATATAAGAGTTGCTATAGAAACAAAAGATCGTCGATTTTTTAAAATAAGTATAAAATATAAGTTTATTATAATCGGCAATATATTATCCCAACATATAATAAAAATCAAGACTATACATTCAAATTAAGGACGGCATGAAAGAGGACAAGAAACTAATAATAAAATAACAGCCGATTTTCAGATCGCGAATTAAGTATTGAATATCCGTAAACATATTTAGACGTTTAAACAGTTAGCAATTTTAGTTCATTTGTTTTTTTAAACATAAGTATAAAGGTTTAACCGATAAACATTAGCTTTTTTTATTTTTCGTCATTATATTTACTTGGTGGGCGGGATTTAAAGCTCAACCATCTTTAAAACGGCACAAGACCACAGTATTTGCCATTGGTTGCCGATACGGAATCGTTACGAGAGAAATAGTGCATGTGTTTGATTGATGATATTGTTCTCTTAATTTAAATGAAAGACGTGGTAAAAAGGCGCATGATTTGAAAAGTTAAAATTATAAAAGAGATTTCCAGAAGTGATATTTTACTCTGTAGATATGAACATTATAGCCGTATTTGTCAGCATAGTAACAGTGTATGCTGTAGCAAAATCAGCAAGAGTGTTAAATTTTGTAATTAAACAATGCGATAAAACTGACACATTTCTACAATTTTTTGGCGGATCTTTACTCAAATGTACTGAAGAATGTGACCGGCGTTCTAGATGTACATATATTATGTTCATGCAGAGAATGAATCACTGTAGCTTGAAAGGTAATGTTAGTGGAATCAAAGGGAATGAATCAAATGTTATTGAACATCTATGTATGTTTCTCGAGAAGAAAGACTGGATACCGTCTGATCTAGGACCATGTAATGAGAATACATGTAATGTTACAGAGACTTGTGTATCGTCAAAAGACGACCCCAAACAGTTCTCATGTCTAAAGTCAACATGCCCGTCGCCACCTGTTGTTGTGAATGCTGCTTTAATGTCAGACATTAGCACAATAGGATCTACCAATAGATACAAGTGCAAAAACGGCTATAAGAGTTTTGGAACACCTTCGACAACGTGTACTAGTACCGCAACATGGAATGAAAGTGGAAACTTCTGGTGTGAGCCAAATTGTCGAACACCAGCTTCGTCTTATACAAATGCTGTTCTGTCTCGGGTAGAATACAGTGGACTGTTTTTGTTTGAAAGAAAAGTCGTTATTTTCACATGCAAGAAAGATTACCAGGCATTAGGACCGACTGCGACGAGCACATGCGGTAGAAATGGTGAATGGAATTATAAAAGGGTTCAATGCTGTGAAAACGGAACTTATAACAAACCTTGGATTGGCCGTTGTGTATTTTACACAGAGCCTCTACAATACTACGGTTAGTATAGAACACATGTTAAATATTTAATAAAATAGAGAAAAATAAAATATCTTAAAAACATCCAAAACGGCGTAATTGAAAATGCTGCAAGCTCGGTTTGATCGAGCCTGTTCATGGCCAACACTAAGCACTACTAAGTTCATGCTACTGTATACGCCTTAAGCAGAATTCAACATTAAAACATGGTAATGTTGATAAACCAACTATTTGAGGACTATATAGTTATTTTATTTGCTACTTACTTCGATAAAAAATATAAGCGGCTCGTGATTCATTACTATAGCACTGTAAATTTCGATTGGTAAAACTCCGAACAATTAGTAACGTCAACAAACATAGGAACATCTATTAATATTTATTAAAGAATGACATGAATAAAAATTAAAAGTTCTATAAACTATGTTTTACTGTGTTATTGCAAATATAAATTGTGTTGAATGCTATGAAATGTTTCTTAAAAATCATACAAATGAAGGTTCAAAATGAAATGAAGCTCATTTGTTACACACAGTTAGGGTACTTTATATTATAGGACCTTTATTCGGATTTAATTTCGGTTTTCAATTGCGATTTGAAATTTCTTCGGCGCTTAGGCATCACCAAACCCGATTTCTATGGCGATGTGATTTACAAACTTCGAAAGAACCATGACTACTGTCAGAATTTCGCTAGGTGGGGATTTATTTTACTTACACTGTCTCGTTTGACGGAACATGTCGGGGATACGAGTGAGGTTGGATGCACCATTAACCAGTTTAAACTCCCCGCTGGTGCTTATCCTGCGGGCGCCCCTCTTTGGTCCTCATATGTATGTCTTATTCGTGGATTCATGCTATTGTGATGAAAGGTGTGTGTCCCTTTCTGTTTAATTCTCGACGACTTAGTATCTACCCTTTCCCCCTATCTTTTTTTTAAAATTTTGATCCCCTTTCTTCGGCCTTCTAGTTCTAGTCCCTCACCTACATTCCTACTTTTGTAGGCCTATTAAAAATTGTCTTCTGTAATATCCTTGCTGTTTCTCTTGTTTCCTATTCTGTAGTATTTAAATTAACACCCCGTCCGCGCTTTGCCTTATGCCCTGACCTGTTTTTGTTTGGTGTCCTGCTGGGCTCCTTGCCGGTGGTCAAGTATAACTGGGTCATTTGGGAGATACGTTCAATGAATGTCAACCCGAGTTTTTTTTTTCAAGAATAATCATTTTATTGTTTAAATTGACACAAAAAAGAAAATTAAAAAGCGTTGCAATGCCTTTGACTCCTGATTGTACTAAGAATTGTACCAACTAGCGATTTTCAAATTAATTCCGGACATATTTCTCTATTATCCTTTGTTTGTGCAGAATTTTATACTTTTAGTGCTTCACTCGGTCTCTGTAATATTTTCAGATTTTATGATTTTAGGCCTCAGTAGAGCTCATTAAAATAATGCATGTAGTAATGATCACATGATTATCAAACATTGCGTCTGTAAAATTGACGGTAAACATTATATTCTTAGTCTGCTATGTATTTTACCAGAACAGAACTGAATAGAGTTTATTTCATAACTGGTACACACATAGGTACATCGTTATAACAAGCATTTTAAAATATAAGTTTAGGTCACATATTTTACAATATAGGAAAAACATACATAAAGAACAAAATCAATACAACACTGAGCAACAAAGAAAAGACCTATCGATATTGTCATTTCGACTTCGACAATTTCAGAGCTTTGTTAAATCGAAACAATATTTTAGGGTATACATTGTAATTTAGTAATAGTAAATGAAGCAAATTCGATTGTATCTTAAAACTTCATTAATGAAGAAACAATAACTGAATGTATTTTCATTTTAGGTCAGTTTGCCAAGACATGTTCAGCAAGAGGTTACGCAAGGACTAACTTTCATGCACTCCTCTCGAGGTATATGCTTATCAGCCATAGTATTGATAAAATATTGATGCCCGTAAAGAAATCAGACTTCGAAAGAACATATAATTTGACTGAATGTTTTAGAATGAATAAAAACATCACGGCTGGAAATTTCACTTTTGACGAGAAAATACAGTTTGCTAGAAGTAATAACATGACACAAGGTGCTTGTGAACCGGTCACGTGGTGGGCTCCGTCTGAGCCAAACGGTGATACGGGAGAAAACTGCCTTATGAGGAAAAACAGCGAAGGGGATTTTCCTCTCTACGACATACCATGCAGTAACTTGATAGATTTTAACATAAGAGCCGTGTGTCACTCGGATTTACCGATTATATAGGGCATTCAGAAATACTTTGATTAAAGGGGTATACAGTTCAACTGCATTGGAAGTGAGCATTCATCAATCGGTAACTAAGATCTTTTCCCAGGCAGACAATCCAGGGCGTGGACGGTAGCTCGTACTTTCCAGTGGCTTAATCAAACGGAGCCTACAACATTTTCATTTTTTTTTTTCTCAAGGGATTTCGTTTTTCTCTATTTTAAAAGAAATATCTACTTTGTATAGGACTATTTGAAGCAATTGTGCTATAGAATGAGGTTGGAAACTCAGCACCCCCATCAAATTAACAAGAAATTTCCCCATTGTAGCTATGAATGGAAATCCTGTTGATTACGAAAAAATATCAATTAGCTCAATATGTCTTATAAACTGGGCCTGTGAAAATTATAATATCAACCAGGTGTTCTTGTTCTTGAATTTAGATAGTGTCCTGGTTAAAATACCCTTAGTAAATGGGATTACTCTCACAACTTTTCTGTAAACATTTTCATACCATATTCTTTCGATTATTAAGCACATTTTCAATGCAAAACGCAATGGTAAAACAAAACCAATAACTAGAACAATAATTATGAAACGACAATAATAAAACATTTCAGGGAAACTTTTTCATTTAAACTATGCAAGTTTTATAAACAGTACAAAATATGACGGCGACGCTCTTTAAGGGATTGTTTTGTTTTTTCTTTTCAAATTTTGTTTTATTACAACGAATAAATAAAACCGCTTTACAATCTTTTTTCAACTTATGTGAAGAAATGCGCCTTGTGACAAATTAACAGTTTTCAGTTTTATTCTCTACAAGTTCGATAAATGACATCAGACCCTTCATGTATTAGAATAATTCATGAAGTTACTTGAATAAATCGAAATAAGTTGCCACACTGGCACGGGTAATTAAATTTACAATGATAGAGGAATGTTTGATAAATATGCCCATGGAAAATATTGAGTATATAAAACAGACATCTTAGCGACAAAAGTCGTTGAATTTCAGAACATTAAATTCGTCAATAATGAGAAACACTCCATATTGTATAACACAATATATTAGACTACCTCACAATTATTCAATAAAGTTGTATACAAATCTAACTGTGAGAACCATCTTTGAAAGCGATGATCTCTCGAAAGCATTAAATATTGAACCGGCTTAGGCAGTTGTCAATTCTCATCATAATATTCAGTAAAAACAACCCAGCACTGTGATGAAATACGGGACAAAGTTTGCAACTGCCACACAAGACTAAGTTAATTTACTCACGCAATGCTATTTTTATAGAAGTTCCTTGATTTTGTAACTTATAATTATTACCGAATTTTTCTAATCAAATTATCCACTGAATGTCATTGTACATGTATAGATTCTCAAGAGACTGTAATAATTGTTTTACTCTTCTGTTACTATACTTTTCTTACAATATGTATTTTGTTCACAATTATCATTAAAAAATCGGGCAATCACATTTTAAAAAAGTATTGCATGTATGATGATAATATAAATATATAAACATGACAGTGACTGGTGCAATGACATTTTTCAATACAATATTTTATTTGTACCTCTATGTTATAATCACTGTTTTATTCCCTTACCAAACACTGCATAAATACATGCACTTCGCATATTAATATTTCTTTTTCAAACAAAATTTTAAATTTTGGATTAGGTTTTGTCTTTTTTTTCTGAGCGAATTTGGCCAATCACACGTAAAACAATTTAATATGAACCTAATAGTGCAAAAATGATGATAAAAGAAATTGACCGCCAACATTTTTTTTGTAACCATTTTAAGAGGCAGAGCAATAAGAATTGCATAAAACATCCAGTAATAGTATTGCTTCCGAATAAAACTTAAACGAGAGAAGGGGAATGTATGTGTCGATGTCCTAAATAACAAAAACGGCTAAATGCCTTCTTTAAATAAAATAACAAGTTTATTGAAAGATTCATTACGTCAAATAAGCAGGAGAGACATAATTAACTAATAGAGATTCCCACTGAAACGAATTAGACCGAAGAAATTCGAAGCAAAATCTTCATAAATATCCTAGACGCTCGTAGCTAAAACCAGAATGGACAGAAAAAAACACGTTTAAACTTAAAGAGATTGTGGCTTAAATATCTCAGACACTTATGTGTTGATGAGTAACCGACTAAAATATTGCTGACACAATGAGTCCTTGACATTTAGGATATTTGTTCACTAACCAATTTATTGGTTCCTCAACTTACATAAGTGTCTTTAAATAATTACATATATATGTCTGTATGGTATTGAAAAACATCAATTATTACAAAAAATTATTTATGGTAAAGAAACACTTTCAGCACTACGCTTCAAATCAAAATAATTGAGAGGGATTGGTTTTATAACTCATTCATGTGGCATTGAACTATCAACTGTTTTTTGAGATATTATTTATGACGTAAATAATTTCTGGCGTTCTCGTTCTAAGTATAAACTTGGTGTTTATTTAAAAGCATTCAAAAAACAATTTACTTACGAAGAACGATCCCACCTATGTATTATCTTAATTGTATGATACAAACATAACGAAAGTACATCAGCAAGTTTCTTATAAAATGAAAAAAGTAAAGATGACATTGCTATTGCTCTCCCGTCATTTGGTTTCAATTAAGAATCAAATTTCATAAATGAGCCGCGTCATGACAAAACCAACATAATGGGTTTGCAACCAGCATGGATCCAGACCAGCCTGCGCATCCGCGCAGTCTGACCAGGATCCATGCTGTTCGCTATCAGTTTCTCTACTTGTTATAGCGTTTGTAAACGAATAGCTTGGATCCTGATCAGACTGCGCGGAAGTTATGTGGATTGGCCATCCTGAATTAAAGCACATTATGCCACAGAAACAAATACATTTTTAAATCTTTAGAAAGGTCAAACAGGAATTTTATAATCAAAAAAATGACGTAGTGAATGTTAAATGCTTGTTATCTGAAGAGAGCAGCGATAAATGTGCAATAATCTGTCATAAAAAGAGCAAAATATAAACAAAGTAGTATTTTGACTTCTGTACTAACTACCAATTCACTGTAATTGTACTTATTGCCAAAAAGCAAGAGATAAAAAAGATGGTTAAGGTAATTGGCCAATCGTTTGGATACTATAAAAGTACACTAACATAAAAATAATTGAGAAATAGAATAAATGCATTTCTGAGGTATAATGGGCCTCTAAAGTAAATTGTGTCCGAAAATCATTGCAAGTATTGATGGATTATATAATTGTTACATGGTTGCATGTACCAGAAAAGGGTTCCATGAGGACGTTCATAGTTATTATCTGTTGCATCGTAAATACATTTAAATGTTTAAGAGACACTTACAATAAAAAATTAGTTCTTATTTTGACATATGACACTATTTTATGTCTTTTCCAAAAACCTACAAATTTAGTGTCTGGAAGTCATAAATATGATTGATAATCATATCCACTGATGACATCTTTTTCAAATTGTAATATAATTTAATTTCAAACCATTTTGTTTTTAAATTATTTATATGAATTATATTATATTATATTATATATAAACCTAAAACAAATAAAAGGTAAAGGAATATATGAGTCTTTAGAATTGTAAGGCATTTTCTTAATTTACTTTTAAGAAGACGATGATCATGATACTTGTTGTGAATGCTTATTACTTTTTGAAGGATATAACAAAACCAAAATCTAAATAAAATGAGCCGCGTCACGACAAAACTAACGTAATGCGTTTGCGACCAACATGGATCCAGACCAGCCTGCGCATCCACACAGTCTGATCAGGATCCATGCTGTTTCTCTACTTGTAATAGGGTTTGTAAGTGAACAGCAGGGATCCTGATCAGACTGCGCGGTGCGCAGGCTCGTCTGGGTCCATGCTGGTAAACAAACGCACTATGTTAGTTTTGTCGTGACGCGGCTCAAATATAAATTCAACTAAACTTTTCATGGACGGTTATAATACTGGTTTCAGACATGTAATTCTTTAAAAAAGCCGAATGGGGATATTGACGTTTACACGGTTACACCAAAATAACACATTATTTAATTAAGTAATTTTTTTCTTACAATATTTTCCTCGTGTTTTTCACCAGTAAAAAAATACCATGCTTAAAATGTTAAAGATCCCTTGAGAAACAAAAATTAAAATTTGCGAATCGCAGAACACTTTAGATTGTATCAGTCCATGCAATACAATTTAAATATGGGGCATTTCTCAAGGTCAACCCCTTCCTCGGGCAGAATTAAATTATATTCACTAATATACTTTTTCTAGATTTTCTATTGTTTTATTGTCTAAATTAGGCGTCGGAAAGTCTGGATCGCAACAATCAATGGTATTATAGTGCCATGAAAATATTTCCTAACCTGTTTTTCATTTTGAAATTTAAATTTCAGTTTAAAATCTATTTTACTTCCTGCTTATGAGAAGGTATACTCTGAGTGATACCAGTTAAAGGCACACAATGCCACAAAATTTCGATAGTTTTGATGTTTAACAAATGAAATAGTAGCGTTGAACGCGCAGTAATATGTCATAAAGGTAGCAAAATGTCAGCAAAGTAGTATTTTGACTTCCATACAAATACTAATTTACTGTAATAACTATATTCCTATAAATTATTTTGCGCTTTTTAAGTTAGCGTGTCTTTCATGGCGAATATTTGTATCCGTGAAAAAGTTGCATGTAACAAATCCGCAAACATTTGTAGCTTCAAGCACTTCTCGATTATCATTATGCCATGATGTAGTATGCATGACTGTTACTTATGCATAACAGATACACAAATCAAGGTAAAATTTCACTTTGCCAAAATGTTTAGATTTTTTATAGTATCAATTATTAGCAGATAAAATAAAACCATATACGTAATGCGTATTATTTTGAATTTGCATACTTTGAATGAAGGTGATTTTACTCGCTAAAACGAAGGTGTTGTTGCTTGTTACAAGTAAAATAGCAATAATACCTTTATGTATAAGTGTGTCCAGTGCATTTATAACAGTAAAAATATATTATTCAAACAATGAATTTGTTTTCAGATAGTTAGGTCAATCATGAAATCAAATAACATTATTTGCAAAGAAAAAAAAGTATTTTGAGCGCATTTTTGGCGTCCGCGCCGAAGCGCGGCGCCACTTTATGGAATGAAATCAGATTTTGTGAAAGGGCGACAGCAACTTCTCGAGCCTTTTAGTCGGTCATAATAAAAGCCGATCATTCCGATCGGTATGAGGGTGCTTGATTATTATTAATTAAAAATGAAATGTCGCGATATGTACAATGAATAGCGAACTGGAGGATTTCGCAATGCAAACATTTTCAAATGCAATAACCTTTTCCGTCTCTTCGGTTTTTTATTTATCATTTTGTAGGACACAGTGGGTTATCATGGTATGTTAATATAGAATGATGAGTTGATGACCTAAATATTCCGAAAATCTATTTATAGAGGGATGTACTGCTATCGGTAATTCCCGGTCTC